TTGTAGTCTTACATTTTCGCTTTACCATGCCGAAATGCACGGCTCAGGAGTGATTGCTATTTTGCATTACCACTAGTTGCTATACCACTTTGTTGCTATGCCGAAATGCAAGGCCTACTTGTGGCTTTTGGGCTACAACAAAAGTTCATCAATAAAATCTAACTTTTGGACACGACTGCGCTCCAAAACAAATGCCCTGCTTTAATAGCGAGATATTTTCTTATATAATTTCTTATATAATTCTATTTCATCAATTCCGACAATAATTCCTTCTCCGCCAATTTGACTTTGATTGTTTGTTAACCATTGATTCATGAGCTGAGAAGTTGTAAATATTTATTAAAGTAGAGAATTTTTAAATAAATATACAAGTTTTATGTTTCAGAAATACAAATATTTTACTTCAAAAACACAAATTTCCTGCTTTACAAACAATTGACATTGTTCCCCATTTATGTAGTTTTACCAAGTTATTAAATTACATGAATTACCTCTCTGCAAAAGTTAATCCAGTTAATTGCTGTGTGTGATGATATATTTATTTCTTTTTCTAGGAATGTCCTCTTTACAAACACAAATTTTTTGCTTTAAAACCACATTTTTCTAATGAATTTTTTTGTTAATAACTTTTTAACGAACATTTTAGCGATAGCTAATTTTAAAATCAAGGTCAGTCGGGGTTATGACTTTGACAACATATGTCAAGGTCATTGGAAGATAGTCTGTATAGCCCCCCCCTCCCCTATACTGCATAATTACCAAAATCTCTATTCTCGAAAGATCACTATGTGTTTTGAGTTTCTGTGAGTTTGATAATTTTTATATATGTATATAGAAAATGAGTTGGACAAAATGGAAAATTTTTTCTCACTTTATGGGACTATCACGAATTCAAAAATTTTTGATTTTCTGACTTGAAAGCTTAAAGTGTTCCCTACAAAATCATTTTTCAAAAATATTCCTAAAACTTTTTATTACTTTTTATATACTTTTTATATACGGATTAAATAAAAGAAACTATTTGACTTTGATTGCTCGTAACTCTGTTAAAAATCATCGTATCGCAATTCAAAAACAAATTTTTAAAGCTAAAACTTTGCTCTATCGAATGATATAATTGCCAAACTTTTTTTAAAAACATATAAACGTAATATAAATAAAATAGTGTTATGAATGTTTGTTCCAATCCAACAGACGAAAGTAGATAAAATTTCATTTAATCATGATTAATAAACATTGTAATACATATTCCATTGAATACACATTCTATTGTGCGATATACACGTGATTACGGATTAATGAGCCGTATTAAGGCTACTGTCAGTGCTAATTACTTAGTCCGCTAGTCTTCCATAAGCAAGGGATCAATGTAACGGCGAATTATTGTTATAAAGAAGTTGCGTCGAGGATGTATTTAATTTATTTCTCCTCACAAACAAATAGTTCCTGGTGATTTATTATTGTGTAAATTACCTACTGTTAGGAAACGGCGTTAAGCGGATTTATTGCGCGGCTCCGCGCGAATTTATGTCTTTATTTCTGTTATTATACACAAATAATTTGCGTTGCTTTTTGCACACCATAGTTTCTATGCCTGCTGTTATTGATCGATCGCCTTTATGTAATTGATTGTCACAGCGATTCCTCTTGATGCTCCATTAGTGCACGATGCACATAGCGGGATTAAATAAACCTATTACACGTCGCGCGGCTGTCTGTCTGACGGATATGGCGATAATTAGCTCTGATTCTTGGTTCGGGAGAGGAGCATACAATGCAATTCGATAACTGCTAGTTACACGCAAACAGCGAAACGTCACGATCTCACGTCAACGTACGCGCTAATCAAAATGTAATTATAACCGTATTATTGCTTCATAGAATCCTTTGTTACGATTCTTCTCGCAAATACGATGCATAAAAACACTATGCTTCCATAAACGCAGCGCGCGTTATTTATTCTTAATTAGCAGTTTCGGTATATTCATTACGCAAGATGACATATTTAGAACGTAAGAACAGTGCAAACGTAAAAATATACGTATTGCTTTGAAAGACATAGGTATTCTTATTCAGGAGCTGTATAATTAAAACTAGTTCATTAGAAGCGAGAAAAGGTTCTGCAATACAGCACTTTTAAACTTTTTCTATTGCGAGTTTCTTTCATATAAAATATTTTTATGTAAACAAATTTTTTAAATTTTAATTCCATTTACATGCTCATTTTCTATAAATTTTTTTCTAACGAATTTTGCTTTATTTTTAAAAGATGTTTGGAACATAAGAACATTGCGAACATAACAATAGCGGAGTCATATACTCGGAAATATTTCGAATAAGAAAATTTTCTGTAATAGCATTTTTTTTTTTTAAATAAGTTCTAACTATCAAAATAAGTTTACAGGTTTGTTGCACGATTCGTTAATCGAAAGGCCTTTATTTTTTAATGTTTATGCAAAATTTTGGTTTTTTTCCTATTTTTGATTCAGTTTTTTATATATATTTCAGCTTGTATAAATCGGATCGAAGTAAAAAAAAAGAGAATTATTCGTAATGAATTCTCCTACAAAACTACATTGGGTGAAACCTTCTAGCTATCGTACATAATCTAAAAAAAAGATAGAAACTACCGTTATTAGCGATTTTTGGCTTTTTCTTTGTAACTTGAGCTTAAATGCATATATATTAATGACAATGCGAGAAAATATAGATTTTATGATCACAAAAATGTGTTTTTAACCAAAGTTGGTTAAAAAAATTAAAAAAAAATCGACCGGAAATTGCATTGTTGTAAAAAAAAATTTTGATTTACTTGTCAGTTTTGGGCAAAAAGTCATAGAGCAAACTTTTTTTTAAATATTCTAGAAGGTTCTACTCAACATAGTTTTGTAAGGGAATTCATTACGAATAATTCTCTCTTTTAATTTCGATCCGACTTATACAAGTTGAGATATATAAAAAAAAATAACCGAAAACAGGAAAAAATCAAAATTTTGCTTAGACATTAAAAAAATAAAGGTCTTCCAATCAATGAATCATGCAACAAACTGACCTGTAAACTCATTTTGATGGTTAGAACCTATTAAAAAATTAAAATTACTATTATAGAAAATTTTCTTATTCATGAAAATTCCGGATATATAATATAATTTCCGGACTCCGCATTATTAGAAACACAAAACGTTTCTCTAATACTGCAGCAAATCTCAAACTCTTCCTTTTATCATGAATTAAAAAAAAAACATTTTATATAAAACCGTTTTGAAATCTTATTACAGTACATGTTTATTTTATAAATTTTTTCTAATGAATTTTGTTTTAATTTTTAAAAAATTACCGATTTTTTAAATAATAATATGTGATTATGCTATTTACGTGTCGGGAAGGTTTGAAGATCACTGCTCCGATATAGCAAGATTTAAAAAATATAGATCCAAGAAATTTAATAACTTCTATAAAATACGTTCATATATACCTTCTCAACGCCATCCGTGGATTTGAGCCTTCATCCTCCGGGATGCCGATATGACCGACCTGGAACTGCGTTCCGGGACCCCATACCAGCCTCTGTATCGTATTTCTGGGTCGCTCCGGCCTGATCCTTTCGCAAGAATTGATGCCTGGGGGTGGTACACTTGGTTTGCTCATCTTCGTTGCTTTTCGTGAAACGCCTTCGACGTAAACACCGAACCCGTATTTATTTATTATTTTCGCGTAACGAGGATTAAAACCGCCACTCGAAAATCATCTTTATGACTTCGAGACACACCACTTTGAGATATCCACACCTTGAGTTGACTTTTCTTCTACCTCCGCTTCGTAACTTTCACGGTCCTTTCTCTCTGTCCTCGATACGATCTTTGACCTATCAACCACGCATCTCCGCGAATCTTGAATCGTGGTCCCTCTCTTACCATATATTTTCTATAAATTGATATTTCTTACGATATAATTAAAGGTACATCTGTCGCAATGATATTTGTTGTTATTTTTTATTTGCATGTCCTTAGCTTTTGTCAGCCAAATCGATTTCAAATGTTCTGTGTGTGTCGAGCGTTTTTTTAGATAAAAGTTGTATGATTTTTATAAATTTATTATTTACGTAATATTCACAATTATATAGGTGACATCAATTAATTAATAGTTTTGATTAAAGTTTCTACTACTTATCTTTTCTTTTTAAATTCATTCATTGAGAAAGTAAACTTTAAGATTATTTGTTTGCATCGTGAGAACAGGTTCTTCGATCGCATGCTGCGTTGTCAATTTCTCTTGAGTAAATATGTATAATTTCTCCTGCAATTCTCGTTTAAATATCTTCGTTTCTACGTCAATATTGTTCCTTGATTACACATATATCCTACATTGAATTGATTAGCACGTATTTAATTATTTTAACCTTTTTGTCTTTTAAATTAATCTTTGGGATTGTCATATGTAAAATTTTTCTTTGATACATAAAAATATAGCATCTAAACAATTTTTTCTTTTTATTTTTCACAAGAGACATGCAAATGAAATATCTTGGCTCGGTAAAAAGTATTTGAAAATGAACTCTTTTTATAATGATTCTCATTAAAGCTATGCGTGTCGATTACTCTTGCTCGACCCCTCGTTTTTCTTTGCTTTGACTTTACTTTGTCCTTGACGAAGTTAGTCTCTTTCTTTCTCTCCCTCACAATTTTCCGCGCGTCTGGTCCGGCAAAAAGCTGCAGCCTCGAGGCAGACCGCTATCCAATTTTCTAACTGCTATTTTCTGCCGCACACTGGACTTCTCTTCGCAGTTCTTCACTCAGAAACAGCCAACAAGAACATTTCATTCCTGATTCGTAGACGCGTTTGTGTTCATCTAGTCTCTCAACCTCATTTCTTCACTTGTTGAATCATGATCTCCCTTCGGTATCGACACTATACCTCTAAGCCGATCCCATTATCGTCACGTAATTATCTCCACGGTTTACACGTCGATCTTTAGAATGATCTCTCTTTTTCGATCTTCGTTTTTTATCATAAGATGCCCGAGACTGGTTAATCTTTCGGCTTTCTTTTCTTCCCTCTAGCAAAATTCATTTCTCTTTCTCTCTCTCTCTCTCTCTCTCTCTCGCTCACCCCCTCGCTCCTTCGTCTCTTTCTTACGAATTTCCTTCCGCCCGGTCCTCGAGTACTTAATATGAACTGGCCTACAGCCTCGGGGCTGACCGGCCCACTTCTGCGAGAGTCAAGCTGGATCTGCAAACGGAATTATTTATCATGAGCCGTGAGCCGTGTCCTTTCGATATGCTCGAGCGAAATGTGGTTTTAAGTGACCTACGTAATGCAATTCACGTAAGGTATATCTAAGAATCTATATAAATTCACGATATGTCTATATTATTCTTGTAAAATAAGTAGAAATCTTGCAAAATAAAAATTTTACTGTGATCGAAACTCGATTATAATAAACGCTATTACTATTTATACACGATGTTTCAGTATTTCCAAAAAACATTGAGTAATTGATATCTTGGTGAATTTTATGTAAAAATGTATGGACTTGTACGCGATTTTTTCGAAAATTTTATCGTATATAAATTCGAAGATTATTTAAATACTATTTAAATCCTGTCGAAGCAAATTTTGTAATGAAAGTTATTAAAGTTAGTTATAATATAAAAAGATTAAGTTCTCTTTCTGGTGCAAAAATGTACATTGTCAAAGTCAATTTACAATTTTTTCTATTATTTAATGTGAAATATATTTTTAATGAAGAAAATAATTAAAATTTATATACACATGCGCAGACTTGTTTAGAAAAATTTTCTACAACGGAGAGTACAGTGAGTCAAAGAACTTGATATTAATGTTCAAAGATATCAATGTTACATGTCTCTGATTTCTCTAAAAGCGTATGGTATATCGTGAAACAAAAAGGAAAAAAAGATACAAACAAAGTTACAAAAAAATAGAGTGAGAATCCAACTGTGACAGGTTTCTTGTATATTTTGTATATATACGCGGGTCCCGGCGGAATAAAATATTTGTTGTTAGTAATGCAACATCCTATAGCGGCAGAAATGGAAGGTCCATGCATGATGTATTGGATCTTGGAACTTTGGTGTATAATCTTGCTGGTGCATCAGAACGCCTAGCCAATTTCAATACCTTTCTTGGAAATGTGCACCTTTTATGATAAAGTTCGCAGATGAGAAAAATTTCATAAAAGATTTTTAGAGAAAGAGAGAGAAAGAGGGAGAGGGAGAGAGAGAGAGAGAGAGAGAGAGAGAGAGAGAGAGAGAGAAACAAATGGAAATATAAGAACGTTGTTTGTAAAATAAATAAAAACATAAATATAAAAACAATATTTGTAACAAGTAATTTAAAATAATATTAAAATTAATATTATTGATATAAAATTATAAAATTATAAAGTAATAAAATTATTACGCTATTATTCATAAGGTTGATTATTAATCGTTTTTATATTATAAATATTATCATTTAAAACATTTTATTTTAATCTCGAATATATGGATTACAATTACCATGTAATTAATATAGAAACAGCGTTTTTTAATAGAAATAAACGCGTATTTAATAAAATCTTTTATACATTTATTATATCACAATTTTTTAAATTACTTTTACATTCACATAAAGATTTATCATTCTAGATACGAGGACAATTTTTTCATAGGTTTTTAATTTCTATTAGTTTAATTAAATATTTGAGCAACGATACTGTAATGTATGATTCATGTACCTACTAAAAACATAGAGACTATTAATAAGCTAATTGATAAGCTCATTAACGTTAATTATGAATTTTTTTTAGAGTAACTCACGGTCCAGAATTAATTTTTATTCAGGAAATATAAATTAAATAATGTTTCAAATTTAATATTTTTACGTAAGTTTCAAGTGATTATCAAATTAGTATGACAAGTTTGTTAATGTATTATAAAAAATATAAAAAATTAAAAAAATTGTGATATAATAAATGTATGATTTTGTTTACAAAATTTTACATAATCTTTGAATATAATTTTGAACAACAAACTATATGAAGAAAAAAGAATTAATTAATAAAATAAATATGTTGACTCTTTCTCATTATTTTTAAATTATTATTAACATAAAAATGATAAAATAATAAGTTTAAGATTATCTCGTATTAGAAGCTTATATATATTACGCAAGATAAAAATATCAATGTATTTTTATTTTATTTTATATCTTTCCCAAAAAAAATTATATTAATTAGACTTACGAAAGTATTGTGACGGTATAACTGGGAAATATCTTCTAATTTTCGATGTCCGAAATATCCACACTTCAGATTGATTTTCTTTCGAGGTCAATTTTTACAAAAGTCCATGTCAGCTTTAGAGAGATTTCGGATTGCACGGATCCAGGATTTTCACAACGAGCACACGTCACAATATCGCAGACTCGTTATACGAGATTGAACATGTTCGCACTTACTTAAGACCGGTACTCGCCTTACGGCGATTTTTGCTAGTGAATTTCGGATGATGCGACATGTCGACCGCGAATGCGAGTAAATCGCCGTTCGTCTTCGGGGATACGTAAGGTCCCGGTTCGGAGATAGGTGGTGGAAGAAGAGTGGAGGTTCTCGTGAGGACCGAACGACTCTTTCGAGATCATCAAGCACGTGAGATAATCGGGGAACGGGGAGTGAGACAGAATGTAAGATGAGAGAAGAAGCGGTTGGAGAAAGAGAAAAAGAGAGACAGAAAGCGGTAAGAGAGATCATAAAATCCTGAGAGAGACCATAAAGCGAAAGACCACAGACGAAGTCTCTGAATGAGTGCGTGAGCGAGGGAGAAAGCGATGGGAAGAGTGAAAGAGCACGTAGAGAGATGCAGTGAGGATATGTTAAGCGGAGAATGAACAGAAGTCATCTGCTCTACAATGATATCTGTGAAGTTGCAAATACCGGAAGAGAATACCTTCTCGACTGATGCAGTCAAAGAAAGCGGAAGAGAAGGAAAAAGCGGCTGCAGGAAACAAATCACTTTGAATATGAATCAGCACAAAGCAGCTGCATCAAGATGACGCAAAAGTCCTCTCTGTATCTTTTTATATTTGAAATGTTTTACGAACATTTCTGTTCTTGTTAACGTTATGAAAATTATTATTTGCGCATGTATGAAGAACATTTTGATAACATGTTGATCCATCCATTAGTGAACTACTTTTAACAACTTTCCGACAATATCATGAGGAAGGAGAAAAAGACAATCATGTGAGCAGCCATTTGGGAAAGATATGATCCGCCTGGTTAAAGAGAGAGAGAGAGAGAGAGAGAGAGAGAGAGAGAGCAGGAAGGAGGAAGAAGTAAAAAAAAAAGAAAAGAGAAGAAGGGGACTTGCCGGTCTACCGCTACTGAGATGGCGACCTACTGTCCTGCATACCGCTATTCGGCGCAACCTGTGCTGCAAGAAGGGAGTCGGATGTGCAATATACACTGAATGGAAGAAAAAAAAAGAATCATAAACTTCCTTTTAGCATGTGCTAGACAGACTTGCGATTATTTAGTCGGATTTCTTTCCAATCGTCTACGACCGATAGAGAGTTTAGCGGAGAAAGGTGATGCCGATTTCGATGTTTCGTGTCGCACGATCCGTGAACTTTTCCCGCTAAATCACATATGTGTCGGCGCACGAAGACCACGGATGCTTTCTAACGAGGATACTCTTCCATCACAGCGTGTTGGAGCGTGGTTTCGAACTTGTGCTGAACTTGCACTTCCTGCAGGCATTATCTACCCCGACAATACAAAAGCGGTTAATGAACAGTTTTCTCCATGTCGACCATGTTAACTTTTGCTGCAATTTAATGCCGTTAGTCTTTTCCTGATTTTCCACTTTTCAAACAGAAGACATGAAATCGGTTAAAAGAAGGCTAAAGATGATGGATGTTAATGAAACTGGTTATGTTTTATTAAAGATGATGAACTGTCAATCTCCGAAAAACGGAGCAAAAATACAGAAAAGTTGATCTACATTTAAATTTTATTTGCTATGCATTGATGCTGGCATTTTCATTTTCTCGCATGAAACACTTGCTAATTCGCTCTTAATTATTTATTAATATTATATTCTCGCTCTTGGTATATGGAAAATTTTTTACGTGCTCATTAGATAATGCAAGTACTTTCATTAAAATATGAATAAATGAACGTTCTATAAACAACGGAGCTTTCGAACGAAAATGCCGTGAATACCACTCTCTTTTCTCTTCGCATAACCGAACATTGTAATCACAATGTGCATACGAATTTATGAAACAATAAACACCTTGGATTATTCGATAAATGCAAAGAACGGTGTGAATTCAGTAATATTGTCGAACATATTATCCTGTTATTTTGTCCCGTTCGCCCACATTGTTTGATTTTCGCGTAAAAAGGAAATATATTACGCAGCATATGTTTATGTAACTCGCGCATTTAAATATGCTATCAATTATACATTTTCCTTTTTAATGTCAAACTACTGCAGCATTTTCTGCATTTGCATCGCAAAATATTTAATAAAAATGCTCTTGTAAAAAAGTTCTATGAATCATCGCGGTTGGAAACATCAATTTGGAAAATGTATTCAGCTGCCAGAATGAAAACAGTTCGCAATCCCATAAATTGTTGCGGTACATCAGTTTGAAAAATGTCAATTTTGGAGATTTTATTCGCAGAGCTTCTGCATTTTCCTAAAATCACCGAAAACATTCGCCATCGTGAGAATTAATCGCGTTATACAATACATTGAAAACGCTTTATTCCTCTAAAATAACTTTTTGTGACACTAACAATCAATTTCGTAAAAAGATACATAAATTTCAAGCCATTTATTATTCATACGAAGCCCACAAAAGAATTTACCTGACGCAGGAAAGTCAATCAGGTTTTTAGACATGGATCATAGTTCGCGTATTCAATTTGTTAAAACTACATACAAAGAATGATTTTGCAGAAGTAAAAATTTTGTTAGGTACAAATCCGAAAATAATTTTGTTAGATAATCAGAATAATTTTGTAGGAATTTTCAGCAATGCTAAAAAAAGTTTTGACATTCTAGTAATCAGTTTGAGCGTTAAATTATTTTTAGATTTGTACAATATCTAGCTACTGTTTCAGATATTTCAGCGAAACTATTCTATCCTAGTATATTACACGCATTGCCATTCTGCTAACTTGTAATTTAATGTATCTCGATTTCAACTTCTCGTGTTATAACTTCTTTAATTTGAATTTTAATTTTGATTTAGTTAGCTTCTGTTTTCTCGAGTTTTCCTCATTTGCATACTTATTTTCTTTTTCTACGCTGTAATACGTGGAATTTGTAATTCTCCATGAGAGCATCATATTATCATTGCATTTACATCTTACTGCTTTTATGAAACTTATTACTTTGATGAAATTAGCGATGATTGTACCTACTATTTATATATACAGCAAAAATTAAAGAGTTCTATCTTTTAAATATCCATGTTATATCAAATATTATGTGTATATTTTATAAACTGTATTTTGAGAAAAGAACATCCTTTTTATGTTATATTTACTTTCTTATTATCATGAAAACTGATTTTTATCTGAATATAAGTGTAGCATTCTTATCTTACCGTTAAGCGTTTAAATCGTTATCTTTATAATATTATCTTTTGTGAACTTGAGTTGAATAAAGATTATCGCATAGAGCTTTTGTTCTCGCGTAATTTCTCAGAGTCATACCATAAGGATCCGGTGGATATGTAATCGAGGCAACGATAATAGTCATATCGTAGGTCGTATACTGGCGTACAAATGTGCACAGATTAAATTACGTAATTGTGTGTAATACTAACCGCAGATGTGTTCACATTTCACTGCACGAGAAGAGAGAGAGAGAGAGAGAGAGAGAGAGAGAGAGAGAGAGAGAGCCGAATTATTTTTTATCCAATTTTTTCACGTAAATTAATTTTGCAGGCATGCTACACGGTGAAACAAAAGACGCTCGAGGTTGAATTTTTATGAGATTCTCTTTATATTGATTACAGGTGAATATGAAACCTATAAAAATTTTAATTTTTAAAAATTCTTGAACATAATTTATGTAAATACGGAACATAATATATAAATACGGAAAAATGATTTTACTGAAGTAATTAAAAATTTAGTTAGATAAAGATCTGAAAATAATTTTGTTGGGCCATCGAAATAATAGTGTAATATTTAATTAATAGTGTAACACTTTGTTAGAATGTCAGAACTATTTCCAGTATTTCTTATTATGTTTGTACGCCCTACATAATTATTTTGATAATCCAATGAAATTATTTTCAGAGCTAGCTAAATTATTAGATGCTTCAGCGTTCTTTCTGTGTAAAAGTATATCTTTAGATTAAATTTGCTTTATAATGAATGGAATGATCACGAAAAAGATATGTTTATAACAAATTAAATTAAAATTTAATAAAAAATTATGGATTTTCCGAAAATATTTTCGAAATAAAACGACATATTTTCTACATTACCATATTTAAATTATTGGCTAATATCATTTACAATTACGATGATTAATATATTAAATATTAATAGTATAATATTTCACAAAATTTTCAGCATGAGAAAAATTTCCACTGGTTTCATCGTAATAATATATTTTCGTGGCTAGTATTCAGCATTATGTTTTACAAGCGTTAATGCTAATAGCGTTATGACTTATTTAAATAATACAAATTGCACTCGCATTTTAAGTAGTTGCGATGGTAAGTTATGTTTGACATCAATTTTATAAATAAAATAAAAGAAATGTTACATTTAATGTATTCACGCTTTCTAGTTTTGCGAAATTAAAATTTTATTTGAGAATGTTTTCAACTGCTGTATCAATATAATATAGATGATAAATTTTATTGTATATTGTTATTCATTAATATTAATTATTCATTAATATTAATTTGATCTAATTCATTATATACGTGACAATATTAAGCTAGTACAAGATTAAATAAAATTTTTTATGAAATTGCTTAGTAAATCTATTGAAATCACAAAATCTTTTGAAAAAATTATTTTATACAATTATTTTCTTATTTTTTCGATCGAAATTATTGCCATCATTCCAACTATTAAGCGTAACAGGATTTGATTAGATACTCGGAAAGCGATATTCTGTGATAGTGTCTATTCTACTGCAAAGATGCGATTAATAGATTTTTCGTGATGGACTTTTAATCTACGTTATTTCACAACGATTTGGACGAAACTTTTATTTGTTACACGGACAGCTTAACGCGGTTTTCCCACCGAAATAAAAATCTCGCGTGGATGCACACTTCGATAAGATGTGTTTGCACGTGTACGTGCATGCATGAAACCAGCTCTCTGTTCACACGAATCTTTCCAGTCGACAGTAATCGACGGAATAGATTATAACGTAATTAACTGTATCGTGAGGCTGAGATCACTAAATAGGATCAGTAATGTTTTTAATATGAATTTTCTTCGTAGGCGAGTATAGAGAAATTTCACCACTCAACTTTCGCGACAACTCAATATCGGTGTGATAATTTTTTTTATTTTGTAATAAATTTTTAGTGTTTGTTTATTGTATATGTATATACTAATTTATCAATAAGCTGTGTTTAATTTGCAGTTCTCGATATATTTTAAATATTTTCGCGTAAAAATTATAAAATTTCGTGTTTTGCATCGCGCAAAATGCTTGAAGGGTAATGTGTTACTGTAATTTGAGAGAATTATATTAATATATATATTACAAAAATGAGTATATTGCAATCATAAAGTTGTTAAATAATTGAAAATTATTCCCATAATAAACGAAGTTCAAAGAAATTAACGAAAATTGCAAATTATTTTAACTTTATCGTGAATTACTATCTAAACTTAAGATTAATTTTTTTTTATTATGTAGGGTGTCCTATTTTAAAACATTCACTCAAATATCCCAGAAACACTGCGTTAAATCGAAAAATATTTCAGACAAAAGTTTTGTAACTCCGAGGGGGACATAAGATGGTATTATTGGTTTGATCTTGGATGGCGATGTCAAGGTCAGGGCAAGGTCACTTTGAATGTTTTAAATAGAATCTTCAATTTTTTATTACGTATTCTTATAGCTTATCTCGAGAGCTTTCCAAAATACTATAATTAAGTTCATTTTCATTAAGTACTTTGCGAATTATAAGACTTGAAAGTTATAGTATCATCGGCATTAGTATTATCCAAGATATTTAATCGACGGCTAAAACCTCTTGAATGTTGTTCACTTGAATGTTTTTGCACATGTTTTGAAAATTCATTTTTATGTAAAAAATGAAAATAACAATCTCTAATTCGGACATCTTGGGTAATGCTAATGCCAACGGTACTGTAATTTTCAAGCCTTATAACTCATAAAGTACTTAATTATAGTGTTTTGGAAAGCTCTTGAGATAAGCTACAAGAATATGTAATGAAAAATTGAGGGTGCCATTTAAAAAATTCAAAGTGACCTTGACATCGCCATCCAAACTCAAACCAGTAATACCATCTTATGTCCCCTCGGAGTTACAAAACTTTTGTCTGAAACACTTTTCGATTTAACGCAGTGTTTCTGAGATATTTGAGTGAATGTTTTAAAATAGGACACCCTGTATATTTAAGACATGATATAACATATAATTATGGTCATCATAATAGTCATAATTGTTGTATAAGCCTCTAGAATCGACGTTTATTACAGGGAAACGACATTACAGTAATCTAATTTTGCTCTCTGAAAGTTTAATTGTTGCAAGTCGCTGCACTCGTAAATGTAATTAATAAACTTCTGTGCTCGGATGCATCTCTGTCATACCTTGGGATTTTCTGGAAAGTCAAAGGGTGAAATGATTTATAATTGTAAAATTAAATTTATGAACTTTAAAAATGGAACACTGCCGACTCCTTATCTTCCTATCGGAGTAAACTGCGGATTTGTATTGGATTATGATGAAATTTA